TTCTTACACAAAAGATTGGAGACAAAGATTAGTGTTTGACATAAGGTGTGTGTGTGTGTGTGTGTGTGTGTGTGTGTGTGTGTGTGTATGTGTTGTGTACTGGTAGCCCAGAAAATGTTGAGATTTTAGTTTTTGTATTGTGGAGTCTGTACCAAACTTTGGCAACAACACCTATAGGTCAAATCTCATTTACTACCTGTTTTGTAAATAAGATTTTATTAGAGCACAATAGTGTGGTGTTCACTCATTTTCATACTCTCAGTCTGTGGCTACTTTTATGATGGAACAGCAACAGAACTGAATCATTGTTACAGACCATGTAAGATCAAAACAATGTAAAGTTCTATGTGACTCTTTACTGAGAAGGTCTTTTTCGATAGTTTAGTTCCACTGTCAAGTATTATTAATCACCAGCTTTGTGTTGATGTGGTGCACTTGAAATATGACTGACAGGTATGAGTTAAGATTCCAAAGACTTAGCAAAAAAGAGAAAAAAAGAGTATAAAATACCTCATCAATGCTTACATATTGGTGGTATTTTGAAACAATACCATTAATTTCACTATTGTTTACTTCTATTTTTAAAACAATAGCTACTAGAAAATTTAAAATGTGACTCAAATGTGTGTCTCATCTTAGATTTTTTTCTAGCAGTGTCAGTCTAGAACCTGGAATTTGCAGGCTATGTGACCTCTATAAATAGAAAGATAGACATTAGTTGAGGGAAGAGATTCGGTTTGCAAATATCTTTCCAAAACAATGAATTGTCAACTCAACCATCCTCACTATTTCTCATCAAAAACTCAGCATGTATTAGGATGTCCATAGAAATAGTTGTAGTGGAGTTCTCACAGAAGCAGACTCTGACACATTTGAACTTGGAGATGATCCAAGAACCACAGGGAAGGAAGAAGAAAGAGGGCGTGTTAGTGAGCATGCTATTACCATGGATCCATACATTCCTACCCCATGAAGCCCTGGGGGAGTTTTGTAGTCTAAGGCTCAGAGTGGTCCCATCTGGAAAATGAGGGAGTTGTACCATTTGTCTACTAATTGCAACTTCTTTTTGGTAGAGAACTGCTTCTAGGGGCATTAGCTTCTCTTGAGTTTGCCCAGAACTGTTGTCTGCCTTTCCCAAGTCCAGATACGAACCTGAGACAGAGGATCACAGGTACACATATGAAAGAAAGAAAGCCACCAGCAAACTTGAGGTTAATGCTTGCTGAAGGCATAGGTTTGAGCTCTCCAGTATCTTGCTGTGAGAACAGACCATTTTTCCCTTCAATCAACAATTGTGTAGCTTCCTGGTACATATGTTCCTTTTCTCATATTATATTAGTGATACCATAGCTATAGGTGGGTTGACCATTATCCTCCTCATGTTATGTATAGGAAACTAGCCAAAAATATATCCTCTGATTTGTCAATTTGGAATGGTAGCCCACATCTCTACATGATCATAAATGGTCACCTATACTTCCAGTTTCTCTAAAGCTTGGGTTGGCTAGAACATGAAGAAATACTGGTGGTTTTAAGATGACGACAGAAAACTAAAACTATGTTTTTGTATGTTCTGTAGACACATTTAGAAATTCATAAGAAAGTGGGCATTACATAGGGAAATTTTACTTTGTTCTGTTTTAAGTCAAGTTTTCATGAAGCTGAAGATGACCTTGAACTACTGATCCTCTTGCCTTCACCTCTCAATTGCTGTAGTTCCAAGACTCTAACATTGAAAAGTGTTATCTTCCTTCCCCCCAAAGCACATTCAAAATTAGGAGATTAAAGAGCTCCTTGCCACCACACAGGATGTTAGTGATAGGTAACTTCCAGAAAACCTCCAGTGATTTCCCCATAGTGGAAGCTTATGAATGCATGGTTTAGTGAAGACAGGATTTTGTTACTGTCCCATTGCCCATGTTCTCATCAAAAGTTTTGTCATCCCCTTTGGTACTACTTGAAAACAAATCTTTCTCCCATCTTCATTTCCCTTTACTGTATTTCTAACTACCTCAGTAATTCTTTGTGGACCTCAATAACACTAATACTATTTAAATTTGAATAACCCCAAAGGATCTGGGTAGGTCAAAGTGCTTAAACCGCAGTTTAGTCTTTGGATCAGTTGATTAAAAACAGATTTTTTTATGCATGAGGTATACTTAATAATGGGAGGGGAAGCAAGCAGATGTTTGTAAAATCTGAATGTGTTGGATTGCATTTATTTGGCTCTCTTTATGACCAGATTTAGAAAAGTCATACCTATGACAATTGATGATGTATTTCCCTAGAAATTTCCTGCTATGAGTGATGAGCCACGAAGAAAAGTTAAAGGATTCTCTAAGATTAACACACTAAATTAAGCTGACAAACTCACCTCACAAAAGTCATAACTAAACCAAGGATGCCGAGCAATGGAATATCACAGTCTCAATCTCTAATAACTCTGCTGTTCATTTACTCCAAAAGGTAGAAACACTCCGTGTGTGTGTGTGTGTGTGTGTGTGTGTGTGTGTGTGTGTGTGTGTGTGTGTGTGTGTGTCTGTGTGTGTGTGTGTCTGTGTGTCTGTGTGTCTGTGTGTCTGTGTATCTGTGTGAGAGTGTATACATGAGTGTGCGCATATGTGTGTTTGGGAGGGAAGATTGGTTTGAAAACAATCAAGTTATTTCTAAACTCTTGTTGTACTCATTCTCTAAAGTGACTTCAAGTATATATATCCAGGCATAAACATTAGAGGGACCATATCAAGGTCAAGGTCAAGAAATGGAAAGAGGGGAATTGTGGAGACTGAAGCTGGACTGCTCCCAAGAAGTAAGGATGAAGTAGAACATTGGGATTATAGGGAAGACTTAGGGGAGTGTATACTTGTGGCAAAAGCCTCCAACAGCTGAAAGAAAAGATTCCTCATGAATACACTTGGCTCACAGGATGCCTCACACCTTCTCTGGAATTGAAGCCAGACGTGGAAGTGACATAGAAGGAAATAAGGCACTGAGCCAAAGCAGGATTTGTGCCTCACTTGCACATGGCTGTGTTATGGGAGAGTCCTAACCTCAGAGTGTGCAGCTCCCCTGGCTAGGCTACATCAATACCCAAATCACAAAACAGGGACCAAAGTTCATAGCAGATGAACTGTCAGCCAAAAATTACAAGACACAAGCTAAACTCAGATACTTGGGAAAAACTAAGAAACCACCAGGAAATATGGACCTTCTCTTTCTCAAAAGAGTTTAACAATAAGTACATTTAGCTCTTTTGGAATTACGAGGGTAGTTGCATTCTTGGAACAGGAACAGAAAGTGTTTTAACAAGAAAAGAGACACATGATAAAGAACCCACTGTAAATAAACATGTGCTTCTTATAAAAATCACGATGCAAGCTTGGTATGGTGGTTCACACCTGTAGCCCAAGCACTTGGGATGCTAAGTCAGCAGGGTGGAGAGTTTGAAACTAACCTAGGCTACAGAGCAAGATGATTTCAAACAAAAATCCCCAAACCTAATTCCAGATTATTTATTTATTTATTTATTCAAATTTCTTATTCCAGATTAATAAATTGAATTCTTTAAGAAAATAACCAGACATTTCTGAGTCTGACACACTCATATTAAACATAAGATAAAAATTTCTATTCCTTAGTATGCTTTTTTTTGAGTGAAACGTCTAGGAAAGAAAAACAGGCTATTTTTTTTATAAATTGTAGAGTGAATTTATGTTTTTGTTGTTGCTGGTGTTTCTTTTGTTTTGATAGAATCCAGGTCCTAGCTAGGCAAGTGCTTTACGACTGAGCCATACCCACAACCCCTATATCTTCTTTACTAGATGACATTACAAATCTGAAGTCTGTTATCTTATTCATGGAATTTTTCATTATTCCATGTTTTTGCTTTGTTTAATTCCTTTCATTCCTCCTTGATCTTGCCATATGATCCATGCCTATAAAGGAGTCTTCTACACAATCAGGTCTACATTTGTCTCATATAAGAAGCTGACACTGTTGTCCAACTAAAACTCCATCTCTGAGATTCTATACTCAGCTGAACGATTTCATCATCTTGGATAGCTCCGACAGCCATAGGTTCTCCCAATCCTTTATTTCTAGCCTCTTTCTCCCAGTTACACAGTTATCTCCCTGTGAACAGGAAATAGGGCTTGTTATATTTATACCCCTAGTGTCTCTCTCAGACACTGACATTTACTAAAATCTTAATAATATTTGTTTGTGAATGGACAATAATTGAATAGACAGTATACATGGAGAATACTTGAAATAAAAAAAGAAGGGAGATATTTTAATGACTCAGAGCACAGGGTTATTGTGGTCAAAAATGTGATTAAATATTTATTCCAGGAAACTTTAAAATTGATGCTCTTAAGGAACAGGCCTATATTAAAATGCATAATCAATATAGTGTTCAAGGACATATGATCCTGCACAAATAGAGAAAAATGGAAACACAGACAATATATATTATGACTGGGAAGTGTGACATATGTGTGTGTCATATGTGTGACAAGAACTTCTAATAAATGCTATAAATGGTTATATTTTTAACCATAGTTGGTCAATTCAAACCTTCTTTTAAGAGATTAACCTCATCCTAACCATAGATTGGTAAATTTCAAAACCCTAAAATTAAGCTATGTGAAGCAGAAATACAGTCTTGATATTATTAGCATTGCTGACTCAGGCAAATGAATAAATATTAAACTATGCACTTTCTCCCTAGATCAGGATCTATCAAGAACTTAATGCTAATTATCCAATTAAATGTAAATGAGTTGACACAATAACCATTAATAAAAACAAAATTTGAATATTTCCAGAAGAGTCTTTGAAATACAACTTTTGAAAATCTGGCTTAAATTTATAAATACATAAAATTGAATTAATAGCATTAAGATTTCTGAAAAAAATCTACCCACTATTTTTCTGAGGATGAATAATACTAAAGTAGAAATGTATTCAGAATAATTTTTCTCTCTTTCTTTTTTAAACAGCAAAACTTGGAGAGCAATCTTACCAATCTTATTAAGAGGAACACAGAACTGGAGACACTTTTGGCTAAACTCATCCAAACCTGTCAGCATGTTGAAGTGAGTATCCACCCCATCCCCATGGTATATTTCAGGTGAAAAGTGCTAGCTTGGATTTTTTATGTCTACTTGATTCCAAACTTTAAAGGAGAAATCTTTCTTAGGGCTGGAGAGATGGATCAACTCCTTTTTTTTCTTTTACTTTTGTGGGGACATTTGAGACAGGGTTTCTCTGTGTAACAGTCCTGGCTGTCCTGGAAATCTCTCTGTAGACCAGGCTGGCCTCAAACTCACAGAGATCTGCTTGCCTCTGCTGGAATTAAAAGTGCATGCCACCGCTCCATAAGAACACTTGCCAAGTCAGATGGCTTATATTCTTAGATCTCCAGCTCCAGGGATCTGACACCCTCTTTTTGCCTCCCACATATACATACCCACATGCCCCCCACACACACACATAAAATCACAAATAATACCAAAATAAATATTTTAGAAAGAAAAATCTTTCTTTTTTTTCTTTTCTTGTTTTTTTTTGAAATACCTTTCTTAATAGTAAATATTTTACAGAAGCCAGACATATGCAACAGATGAAATTAGGAAAGAACTAGAAGTTTAAAGACTTTTTCTACAGCCAGGGCTACTGCAAACTCATCCTTTTATAGCTCCCTCTTGATTGAATATTCCATGTCATTCCTAATACTATACATTCTAATCACCCTCACAAAGAACAGACCTTCAAAGCACAATTTAGAAGGTGTTTTGTAAGTTTACTAGGGCTGCCATAGCAAAACACCATATTCTTAAAAATTGTCAAAAAATGTAAGTTTCTTTTCTCATAATTCTAGATGACAAAACAGTCAGCAGGACTGTTCCATCTATATGCTCTAGGAAAGGTCCCTCCTGATTCTTCTTATCATCTGCTGGTTCTAACTACAGCACTCCAGTGTATACCTCCATTGTCACATGCCATTCTTTCTATGTGTCTCAGATCCTGTGTCCAACTTTCTTTATATAATCAAGCCACTAGGTTAGGACCCATCCTACTCTATTATGGCATCTGTACAGAAACAAGGTCCCATCACACACACACACACACACACACACACACACACACACACATACATATAGTTTGAGCCACTACAGGTCTATACTACATTCTTCTTAGCTGTCAGATAAGTGTCTGTGAAAACCCACCATTGCCTCACTAGCAGAACCTATAGTGATTCAAAACTGAGGTGTAAGGCAAAACTGAAACCTCCTTTCCCCATGCCCTAACTCATATACCCAAAATGAAAGCTTTCAAGCTATCTGATCTTTAGCTTAACAAGGCTCTCTGCATGGTAGTTCAAGTGCCATCTGATATCTGTATGTCCAAGTCCTTCTTATCTGTCCTCCAGTCACAAGTTGAGGGCCACCTCAATTTTGAATATTTACCTTGATTTCTATACCACAGTCACATCTCTTTTCTCTGCATCACAATATTTTATTAATAATCTTTGAATGAGTTTTTAGCAGTATTTTGCATATTGGTTCCATCTTTTGCAATTAGAATGTGCAGTCTTTCAAAATAGGGATCCTATATAATTCATCTCTGAATTTCAGACTCCAGTATATTTATTTTGAAACAGAAGCTGAAGATCAATTTAAAGTAAGAAAAGAATCTCAGGGGGAATTGTTCTGGACAGATATGCATGATGCTAGTATACTCTTCCCAATTAGAAATTTGGAAGTTTATGAGTTCATCTCCCCTTAGTATCCATGTTCAGAGAGACAATGTGTTTATTTTTCTCAGACTCATCAAAGTGCATTTATATATTCGTACATACCTATTCATATACACATATCTATGTAACAATAATAATCAAAGAAAAACAGGCTACTAACTTGAGTGTTGGTGTCCATGAAGGGATTGGAGGGGCTAGAGAAAGGAAAGGGGGAGGAAAGTGATATAATTCTCTTTCAATTAAAATGTTTTTAAAAAAACATGAAAAATGTAGCATCATGTCCACTACACAATCAGAAGTACTAGACAACAAAGGTACAAAAAAATTTAAAAGGAATATTGAGGGGAGAAAATTACTCTTAAGACAATATAGATACTGGAATTATGAGAAGAATTTTTAACATTGAATGTGTGAAAATTTACATTTTAAACAATTTTCCCACTATTCAGCAGCATTCAATACATTTTTAATATTGTACATCTACTGACCACTACATCCAGAAAATTCCCTTCATCATAAATACATTTGTCTTTCAAAACATTATGCCAAGTTAAATAAGCCAAACACCAAAAGATAAAGTTGATATGATTTTAAATTATGTGAAATGCATGGGATAGGAAAATTGAGGAGTCAGCATAGAGTTACTGGGCACTGGAATGGAGAGAAATAGAGAGAGGTTTAATGTGTTTATTTTTTAAGTATACAAATTTTTAGAATAACTGCTCTCAAAATAATAATGTTTTACAGCCATTTTACCTTATCTAATCAGTAATTATAATGCATGGCCTTATGTGGTCAAAACTGTGGAAGCAGATTCTCAATGGAGTAGAAAGAATCATAAAGATCATAACATATTGGATGTCCACAGATTCAAATAATAGCACAACTAAAGAACAGCACAGCAGCCAATCACATACTGATATCACAGAATGTGGCTGTTTTAAGTTCTAAGACATTTTTCTTTTGGTAGCATGCAAAGTACCTTCCTGTACCAAGGCTGCTAGGACATAGGAGTGATGGTTCTACATAGGGACCAGCTTGCCTTCTCCGTGTTTAGTGAGTTGTGTGGGTGTTATCTTCAGCAATGGGGCATTGGTATCAACTTGTGGAAAGCAACCTTACAGCCTTGGCAACAGCCTGGGCTGCTTGGGAATTCCCATGTGACCTCTTTGGACAAAAAGGTAATTAGTTGTAACCCAATTTTGGTATTAGAAGCTTCATTTGGTGACAAGAGATGGCCAGTTGGGACTCTGTCTCCCCCATAATTTGGCAATTTGATGTAGATTGCCTTCATATATATATATATATATATATATTTGATTTTAGCTGAATCTCCTTCAGAACTTAAATAAGGAAGCAAGAACTGGGGGTTGGAGAAATGGCCTACACATTAAAATGTTTGACTTACAAGCATGAGGACCTGACTTCAATCCCTAGAACCTAAGTTAATAAAAGAAATCTGCAGTCAGGGTGGTGCCAAGGAGGTTGAGGTAGGTAGATCTTTGGGGCTGACTGACCAGCTAGGCTAGCCAGTAAGAGACCTTATCCCACCCCTCAAAAAGTGGATGGTTTCTGAGGAATGACAAGAAGGTTGTCTTTTGGCTTCCACATGCACACATGTGAACACAGAGAGAGAAGGAGGCAGGCATGGAAGGAGGGATAGATGGAGGGAGGGAAACAATAAAAATAGAGACAGACACACACAACAGAGAGAGAGAGAGAGAGAGAGAGAGAGAGAGAGAGAGAGAGAGAGAGAGAGAGAGAGAGAGAGAGAGAGACAGAGACAGAGACAGAGACAGAGACACAGAGACGGAGAGGTATGCATAATTGAGCTGAAAGCTTATGGAGTTTACAAAGGAATCAGGACTTGAGCTTGTCCTATAGATTTCAGAATTACTATCTTATAAAATATCCCAGGAGTTGGGAATGTAAGCTTATTTTATGTTATCCAATGGTGTTTCTGATGGTATATTCTTCAGCATTACAAAGCTAAGCTTTCAGATACTCTCTGACTAAAGCATCTCTGTTATGCAAATACAGGAGATTTGGTGTAATGCTTATAATGTTTTGTGTTCATAAAGGTTGTGATTTTCTTTATAAGAATCCCTTTATGACCGGAAGTTGAAACTGGTTACAGTGAATGTTGGAAAAATTTTCAAGCTCCAAATTTGCTATGTGTTTCTGCAGTAATGTTCAGGGGTAAGAAGTGGGGTGTTTTCCTTTTCCTGAACCATACATTCTAATGCTCATCATTTTGGTGCAGATAAGCATGGTACAATAGATAAAGGAAAGTTATAGAACAGAGCAATAGGGAAGGTGAAAGGATTAGCTTCTGGGCTCATGTCATAGATCTCTTCCTTTAATCACTAAATTATCCTCCTCCCTGTCTTTTATTCTGTTAGATGAAGCTTAGAGTGTTAAGGCAACAGCATATTACAGAACCTTGACCTTTCTATACTAGTGAAACTGAATTTGTTTGGGCCTTGTTGATTTAACAACAGAGGAAATAGTAGTGAAGAAGCATAAAGTTTCCATTATTGCAGAGCTAAGTGAATATGTATGATTATATGAATAAATGTATGAACAAAATAAATTATCCATGTGGCATATTTTTATTTTTATGATTTGATGGCATTTGATGTTTAAGATAATAAGAAATAATTATTTTTCCTTAGTAAAGAAAATCACCTGTGCTTTATGGTAAATCTTATAAATGCTTTATGGATTGGATGATTATTTCATTCAATTTCAGCTAGTTACTTCTTATAGCATTAATGTCTGTTTTCCATTATGGCTGGTAATAATTTCAGAACAAATGCCTTGTTCCTGATGCAATGTTAGTATGACTTGAATTTATAAAATGGTATTCATTGTAGCATGATGTAAAATTATATTCTATCATGTTTGGTAATTTCAGATGAGATATAAGTTCAGGAAACTGATCATCAGACTATTTCAATGGGTCAGATATTATTTCAGATAAGATACTAATTTTAAAACAAAATTATTACTGACTTACTTACAAATAGGCATACATGTCATTAGAAGTGATTCTTAACAAAATTTAAGAGTATTTATTTCTTTCTCTGCTGCTTTGTAAATTCTTTAGAGTGGAAATAAATTCTTACTTTTGACTAAATTTCCAAACCAAGAAATGTATTTTAAATAATTGCTTGTGAATAGAACAATGGTAGTAGCAATATTTTTGCATTTATCCTAATTATTAATATTCTAAAAGAATATTTTTAAAAATCTGAACTCCAAGTTCTTCCATAATAATTGAATGAGTGCATATCTAAATCATTAATGAAGAGCATCAGGGTCATAAATCCCTTT